TACATACTACCTAATACACCTGTAGAAGCGCTACCGTGTCATAGTTTACCCGTTTAAGTATATTAGGCCAATGGTTCGTGATGTATATTTTGTACAAAAGTTATAACTTATAAGTATATATAGGTAATATTGTAATATTAATATACGAGGGTATAATACGACAGGGTACAGCGCAATTCAAACCTCACGGTTATGTCAATAACGTCACCATAATATTATTTTACACTAGAGAAAAACGAAATCAGTAACGACTACGTACATATAGCTATGATACACCGCACAAACCGTACTTTTACGAGCTTACAGCTTCGACGGCGCATGCATTTTCGATAGAACAGAACGAATAATATTGTAAAATTATCGTTAAAACAGCGTATTATATGTATATTCGATTTAATTTTCAAGGTGACCTCCATTCTGCGAGACGAAAACACCTCTCCATACTCACACATAGTATACCGGTTGGCTGTTGCAAGTGACGGCGATGAGCCGTATAATACATATTAAACATAGGTATATAGGTACCTATGTATATATTTATTGTATACATGCAGCATAGGTTTTATTTATTTCATAATTAATAAATATAATAACCTATACATGTACATAATGGGTACATATTTCCGATTTGTCGACACAGCAACACACCAGGTCGAGGAATTTATAATATATATCGTATTGTTGAGCACGTTGTTGTTCGATCTGTTGACTGTTTGCGTAATATTATGTTTGTATATGTTACTATTATAATATTAGTCTTTGTTTATTAGGTACCTCGTACACAAATCCTACAACAGTAGGTTAATACATTAAAAATATATAAGGCGATTCAACTTCGTATATTTTATAACTACGGGCGACAGAGATACGGTATTGTGGTATTATAGTGGTATATACGGTATACCATAACCATACGTACCTACAGTTTACACGTGATGTGTAGTTGATTAAGGTATAATATCATTAATATCAAACCACTGGCTAGTGAACTGTGGTAAGTACTTACCGACGGGCTACGGCCAAACCTTTAACCAGCTCTGCTACATAATAATAATATAATTAGCACTACAGCATCAAATACTAGTTACTAACCATATAATATGCTATATGCACTATGCACCGACCGATGTCATGTGCAGAATTGTATATTATTGACTTTATAGTGACGTAGAGTATACAGATTATTATACTTTGGTATGTCCTGGTCGATATAGCAGGTTTAATTGAGTAACCATAGGTCTATTGTATACTACCAAAATCGGAGACAATAACGGTTATTTTAAGTATACAGTACTCCAATAATTATGTGTTTAGGATTTCTTTTCTTTCCATTGTTTAGGATTTTTTTTTTAAATAGTGTCAAAAATGTACTCAACGATATCAACCTTAAAGTAGAACGATAAATGGCCGTGGTTACACTGATTGCGTGGAACGAAAACGTGTTGTGCCTATACTATTATTTTTCGTACGCACATAATATTAACGATAATAATATGGCCATGTGGTGATAGTGCAGCGAAGATGGGCGGATATTGGATGGATCGGGACCTTGGGACATGTGGCGTAAAGCCCACCGATTCATACAATTCGTACATTCGTACAATAAAATCCAAATAAATTCGAATGAACATAATATGGTATTATTGTTAAGAAAAACGTAAAAACAACGACTAACTATACTAACTAACTAATTATACATGATATATTATACGATAAAAAGTTATAACGGAGGTTTTCTTCAAAATATCGACTGCACAGAACAAAACAGAGTAGGAATTTTTCTGATGGTCATCATCAAAGTTATTTCGACTCACGACTAACTATTATTTCAATCTAAAAACACGTCGGTTGTAAGAGGCGAGTGCCAGGAGCTCCGAGCTACTACCTATATATTAAAATATATGTACATGTGTCTTTATATATTATACATATCTAATATCTATATAATAATGGTTCATACAGCACGAAGACTCGCATGCATAACAACAGCAGAGACTAGAAATATTTGGTAGTATTATAACAGCTTGCGGTTCATTTTGTATTGTCTGCTGACTGATGGAGAAGCATCCTGTAGAATATGTATATTATAATATCATGATTATTATAATGGTATTATTATGTACCCGTATTATATAGTACCGCAGTGGCATAGTAGTGGCGTAGTATACCGTCAAAATCAGACATCGAAACCGGTTTTTCATAGAACAAATTCAGTTTGTTGGCGTCGAGGAGCGGACATGACAATAAATGAAAAACTGATAACATAATTATTAAGAGGACGTTACATCAGCAATCTGTACACCAGCGGTAACACACAACAATGGTTGTAGTCGAGAACTTGACTTTAGGTTTAGGTATATTGTACTATTAAGATTAAAGCCGTTTCTAGAGCTTGAAAAACAAGACAGTGTACGAATATCTAGACGGAGTCGTTCCTGAATATTATTAGAGATGATTAAAAAGACAAATATCTAGGACTCGGAAGTATGTAGGAGTCAAATATTTTTCTATATGTGCTCCGAACTCTCTATTTACACCTAGTAAACCAAGCCAAATGCTAGGAAGCCATTCTATACAACAACGGGATCAAAAACGAAAATTTGAAATTTTTTTTTTTGTTTTTTGAATAAGTATTTTGTAAATTTGAGGGGAAAATTCTAAATTAATATTGATGCCTACGCAAAAAAAAATTTAAAAATAATAATAATTTTACAAATATTTCAACTTAAACATAGTATACTTCCATAGTATTATTAATGAAGGATAGTAGCATAAAAAAATTTAAACAAGTATATTTTCTTATGTGATAAAAATGTGGTCATTTTTTTTAGTGTAATAGTATATTACAATACACACCATCAGCTAGTGACGCAACCAGGATTTTTTTCCGGGAGGCGGGGGGTTGGGTAAGATTAAGTTGGGTTTATAAAGAAAATCTTTAAATTACAAATTAAATTGTTTAACTTGTATTTATAGACTAGCTGTAAAACCCGAATTCGTTCCGGAAAAAATGAGAAAATATAAAATACAATGCTTCTTATAGCTGGTGTACCTATCTCGGTTTTAGTGTACCTCATCACCTCTGCAGCTCATCACAAATTGGTATGAGTGCATCTAAATTTGTGAAATACTTCGACCTAAATAGACGACCACAAGTCGAGGATTGGATTTGGTATATTTTATAATTTATTATACTATCCTCTTAACTTTTCTGATACATTTAATATGTAAACACAATCTCTGAGATTTTGATCAAAATCAATCAAGTAGTTTTTCAGTATATAAGCTACATACATATAATTTGTTTTAAGATATAGTTTCTTTAATTTAGACAATGTAAGCGCAATAATTTGATATTTTGATGCAAGTTTTTACCTCATCTGCTCGAGTAATCAATGGCAACCAGTTAGGTACAAAAAAAAATTCTGTATTTTGTAATTTTTCTATTACTAATATAATCTGCAACCACGGAAAATGCAAATTTTGCTAAATCCTTTCTTAGTGGGTCTCCACATCTTGCTACAGAGAAAATGTCATATTAAGATATTCAGTGGTTCCAGCTAGCTGCTAGGCAATGATGAATCAGTCAAGACAAATTCCTTTATGAATATAGATACCTAATGCATGTTGGAAAATAATTTAGGCTCAATATACTTTATTCTTAAGAGGATGCTACACTGGCATTTGTTGGCTCCGTCTTATAAGTGCGTAACAGTAAATTTTACGCTCAGCAGATTACATTTACCATTTACCTCTGTTAATTAAAAAATTAGAATTAATTGACCCCTAATAAAATTTAAAGGTAAGATTATTATCTCGGGCATCTAATAGGCTTTTTATTATATTTTAATTTTAAAGAGAGTTATAAATATTTAAGATTAATAAGCAATTTACAATTTTAAATTGATACCTATACTAAGTATGCACACTTCAAAATCGCCGGAAGACATTTTAATATGTACCTAAACCAAGAAAAGAATACTTTCTTTAAAATAAACGTGTTCAAAAACGTTAAAACGTAGCTACCTATCTATGTAATTTAAGTATAACAAATAATTAATAATACATTAACATCATTACAAAACTAATTGCCTTTACTAAAAATATTGATCATTTTAACATAGGTACCTACAGAAATACATTTTATAATAATGATTTAGCGTACAACTTAAATTTATACAAAATATTGACTATAACCTGTATGTTTATGTAGTACGTTGATGGGTATCATAATCCAAATTTGAAAATATGATTCACTCCAAAAATAAAGTACCTTAGCTACTTCCCAGTTCCCATATACGCAGCTAAGCGCAAATTCAAAAATACGGATGGATATGGGTCGATAGATAACTTTATCATCTACAATTCTATAATATGACAATTCGCATGTTCATTGTTCAACATTCAATGAAACACAAATATGGTAAATTTTGGTTATCGTACTCCGGCAGTCCGGCGGTCAATCAACTACCAAGTTAGTATTCAAAAAGTGCGGTGACGGAAACCTCGATAACGTTGGCGTCGGTACCTACTCGGCTACTCCAACCTGTTCAGTATTTATTTCGAAATAACAATATGCAGCAATGCAAGCAAATCACAAAAAAGTATCTGTATATATATATTTTAGATCAGATTAGTGGAGTACTCACTCAAAATATTGTACGTTTATCGTTTATGCGCCAATGGTGATCGGTTAAGGAGCGGGATAAAAAAACATTTGAGAACTCGTCGGTCAAACTGTGTTGGATTGTTGGATATAACTATATATTAAGTTAAATAGAAGTCTAACCTATGTGCATTGCTATGCGGGCGTCGAAATAACATAAGTATTAACTATTCCGCAGGCAGAAATAATTAGCCGCTGGAGTGCGATACCTAATCGAGAAGTAACCAAAAAATATATAAAATAATTATTAAAAAAAATAACCAGCTGCAGTCGAGCCGTCGTCTGTTGCTTATTTGGCGTCACTGGCGAACCACCGACCGACATTATCAGCGTATCTCTTATCTACCCAATTCTCAATATTATTATTAGTCGAAAGTTTTGCGCTGAAATTCTGTTTAGTGTTCCATCGTCGTCTCGTTTATCCGTAAAATGTCACTGTTATCGTATCGTTTCAGACACTAAACACCGCCAATATTGTGAACCTTTTTCGAAAATGAAGCCGACCGAACGTCGGGTCGTACGTTAACTGTGATGTGCTTCCGACTCGCGGTCGATGTGGCTGTGAACTGCAAAACACGACTTTCGACGACAAAATGGCATTGGCCATCCGAGCGGCGCTATTGGCGATTCCGCTTTTAATCGGATTCCTGTACGTGGATTCCCAGGACCTAAATCACCCTAAGGTGTGTATCCGCTTACCGTGTTGCCCCCGGATATTATGTAAAGCGTATAATATTTTGTTTTAGGATGACAAGAGTTTGGCCAAAGTTAATGTCTTGCAGTATGAAGGAATCATATTTTTGTCCACTCTCGATGGCTCATTCATCGCGGTCGACCAAAGGTCTGGCAAGACTTTGTGGAAATTTCGCGATGGTATGTGATAGATTTTACGCACTTGTCTGTTTAAACATTAATATAATATTATCTTTTATTTTTGTGGTTAGATCCGCCTGTAAAAGTTCCATCCAATATAAAAGATGCCCTCACGTGCGTATCGTTTTGTTTTATATAATGTCATAATTATTTCTAATATAAACATTATAAAACTTAGCGTATACTTGTTACAGGCCATTGTTCTTGCCAGATCCTAGAGATGGTTCTCTATATTTACTACATAATAAGGATAAAGTAGGAATCAAAAAGTTGGATGTTACTATCCCTCAGTTAGTTGCTAACTCACCATGTAGAAGTTCAGATGGAATATTATTTTCTGGTAAACAGCCTCATACTTAAATATTATTTATATAATTGTTTTAATAACTCAAAACTATTGTGTACTCTTTGAAGGCAAAAAAATTGATAGTTGGTACTTTATTGATTGGAATACTGGTGAAAAACATGCATTTATGAATTTTGAAAAACAAGGTGAAATATGCACAGCGATTGCTTCAAAATCTATACTATTGAGTAAATCTGGTATGTACCTATTATTATTGTTTAATATATTTATTTAATTTTAATTTTCTTAATAGAATATAGCGTAATGATGGTTGACAGTTTAAGTAGTGACCAACGGCAATGGAATGTTACATTTTTCAGTTACAACTCTAAAACTATGACCGATGAACAGAATTATAATCATGGTATTTAGTATTGATAAATTATTTGTTACATTTTAAATAATGCTCTAATTATGTATATTGAATGAATATGATTTTTTTTTAAGGTATGACATATTTTGCTGCTAGTTCATCTGGTAATTTTGCAGTTTTTCTTAATCCAAAAGATAAGTTAGAAAAATCTTCTCCTATTAACTATCATAATTTACTCTGGGAAAGAGAATTTGATTCGCCTGTTATTGGAGTTTATCAGCATGATGGAGAAAGTCTTCTATCGTTGCCATTAACAAATATAGCTAAAGACTCCATAAAGCATTTGATTTCAAACATAGCATTATCATCAAAGGATCCAAATTCAGTTAGTTATTTGTAAGTAAATTATAAACTATTTAATTTAAAAAATACCCATGCTTTTACAGTTATCAATTGTAGATAGTTATGTCTAATTTTATTTATCACCAAAATTCACTGACTATTTACTAGTAAATGTTATTAATGATTTTATATGTAGACATTGCTATTTAATAAAATATTTTAAATGTCTGATTTATAGCCATACACTTTACATTGGTCATCACATTAATACTGGATTATATGCTTTACCAGCCATTGCAGACACTGGTGAAGTTAATCCATTAGTAGATAGAGGATTAATTGTTCTTTTGGATAAAACTTCTTTTTCGGTATTGCCATATTATAGTGGTAATGAGTATAACGTAGAACCTAAAAATGTTGAAAACCACACAATCTTATTGGGTAATGCAAACAAGTGATTATTCTGTTTTACCAAATGTTTATACAACATAAATCATCTTTTATAGGGCACTACCAGCTGAATCAAGAATTAAATACAGGTATACCGAGAATAACAGGTAACACCGATTCAATAATTTACTATCACAATATGAGTGGATATAACTACAGTAGTAAACAAACAAGCACAATATCTACTCAGACTCCTCAATCTTTGGACTCGTGGCTTATTGTTCAAATGCTTGGAGACAATGCTGGAATTAAGTTATTTATGGTTGGAATAACACTGTTGATGAGTTTAATGTTCTGGTATTTACGGAAAGAAGTAAGACAGTTATTTCTGATCCCAATTTCATTTGATTTGTTAAAAACATTTAAACTTCTTTTAGATGAAAGGTTTGAAGAATAAATCGAATAACAGTCATAACAGTTCTCAGGGAAGTTCAAGAGGTTCTAATCATTCCAATAGTAGTTCATCTCAAATAGTTGAAGAATTACCTGATGGTAGTTTTTGTATTGGAAAAATTATGTTCCGTACAGATGAAATTTTAGGAAAAGGATGTGAAGGAACATCAGTATTTAAGTAATTATTTTACTTTTATTTTTATTGAATAGTATTTTTTTAACATAGGTTAATATTTTTGTAGAGGGGAGTTTGAATGTAGGCCTGTAGCTGTTAAACGGTTGTTGCCAGAGTGCTTCATTGCTGGAGAAAGAGAAGTACATATTCTCCGAGAATCTGATTACCATCCTAATGTTGTTCGTTATTATTGTACGGAACAAGATAAACAATTTCGGTATATTGCACTTGAATTATGTGCTGCAACTTTACAAGTGAGTTGATAATTTACTAAATTTTTTTTTCTTTAATAAGTTTTCAAAATTATTAAATGTTTATTATAGGACTATGTAGAAAAAAAGGAATTAAGAAATGAAATTAGTCCAAAAGAAATTCTATCTCAGTCAATTAAAGGTCTGCAGCACCTTCATTCACTTGGAATAGGTACTATTTATAATTACTATAACCAAGTTACTATTATATTATTTTGATATTTTATATTAATCAATACAATAAAATAGTTCACAGGGACATAAAACCACACAATGTATTGTTGTCAATACCAATGCGTGGAAATGGTAGTTTTAGTAGTGTACGGGCATTGATAAGCGATTTTGGGTTATGCAAAAAATTACAGGGTGGAAAAATGTCTTTTTCTAAACGTTCAGGCGTCACCGGAACTGATGGCTGGATAGCACCTGAAATGTTTGTTACCAATGCATCTGTGGTAAGGATATTTCACTTGGGTATCTTATTGTATCATATTATAAACACTAATTTAATTTTAATTTTTTTAAAGACTAAATCTATTGACATTTTTTCAATGGGCTGTCTGTTTTACTACGTCCTCAGTCAAGGAAAACATCCATTTGGTGATTCATTGTGGCGTCAAGCTAGAATATTGGATAAACGTCAATCTCCTTGGTAAAAAGTTAAACATTTGTTAGTAAAATATGTAATGCAAACTAACCTATAATTATATAATATAGTCTCAATGCATTAAATGAAAGTGAAATTTGGAAACGTTTAATATCTCTGATGATAAGTCGAAACCCAGAAGATAGGCCCACTGCCACAGCTGTCCGTTATTATCCAGCATTCTGGGACAGCTCTACACTGCTATCCTTTCTTCAGGTGTTTATTTATTTCAAACTTATGTGCATGCTAGGGAATTTCATAAATGCAATTTTTTAGGATGTTAGTGACCGTGTGGAAAAGGAACATCCAATGAGCCCTGTGATGCTAGAACTTGAGAAAGGCGGTGATGGAGTTATCGGGCAAGATGGGTGGCATGATAAAATTGATGAAGAAATAACTTCAGAATTAAGGAAATACCGCACGTATAGAACTGGGAGCATTAGAGATTTGTTAAGAGCGTTCCGAAATAAAGTTAGTCATATTGAATAATGATTAACTAAAGTATGAAGATTATTTTTCTACCTACTATTTATTTATTTATTTCATGTTCTAGAAACATCATTTTCGAGAACTATCTCTGGATACACAGAAGTTATTTGGTGATATTCCTGATACATTTTTAGAATATTGGACTAACAAATTCCCACTGTTGGTGTATCATACCTGGACAGCTATGCAATGTTTATCAAATGAAATCACATTTGTTAAATACTATACTAGTTGTTACAAATTTCCACGCACAGAATTTTCTGATTTGCCTATCTGGCTATATGAAAATGATCAGCCCATCGCATTTAGCAGCTTACAAAAAGCTCCTAGACGTCCAAATACGGGTACGAGTTGGCGACACAAAAAACGTGGAAAAACTGTTGAATCTTCTGAACAATAATTTTTCAATGTTTACAAAAAGGTAAAAATAAATTTTATATTTTAAACTAAGTGGTGGAACTATTACAAGTACATATAAAATAATGAATAACAATAACAATGGAATTATAGTAATATTTTAATACTTATTATTTATTACCATAATATAAGAAGTCTGTGATTTTACATTTTTGAGTCCTTTGAAAACAATGCTTTTTTATTAGATCAGCTCCTTTCTCAGCTATCATTGCAACAACAGCGTTTATATTCCCACTTGGCATGGAAGGCATTATTGATGCATCAATCACATACAATTTATTTAATTTATACACTCTAAAATATATATAAAAATAATTATAGTCAAATCAATTATAATTAATATTCATTAAGAGGGTAAACTTCCTACCTCAATGAATGATCCACTACACTTTTATTATAGATACTTCCCATTTTACATGTTCCAACGGGATGATAAGAAGTTAATGTCATATGTCTAATGTAACATTCCCAATAATGGTCTGATCCGAACTTATATTTTTTGCAACCAGGAAAATGTTTTGTGTTAAACTTAGCACCGAGTTTAGTTAATGTTTTGGTTTCTGCAAATTTTTTCACCAATTTCATTCCTTGGACTAACACATTGACATCATGTGATTTTTGTAAATAATTTGGCTGAACAACAATTTCACGATTAATGTCTAACTTCACGTATCCACTGCTTTGAGGATGCAATAGTACTGGTGCTAATGAAATGACTTGTCTTCCCACAAGTGGTTGAAAATATTCATTCCAAATCTTAAATTATACATTTTAAACATTGCATTCAACATTTTAGTTTTACTTGTTTAATGTTTTGGAAAATGTATAGTATAAACTTACTTTATTTTTAAAATTCAAGTGGTTGAAGTATGCTGCTCCTGCATCGGATGATACCCCATAAGGTAAAAGCATAAATTGTAAATCGGGGGATGACACTGAGAAGTTTTTTTTATCTGATGGTAGTTGTAATAAACCAACAGCTTCACATCCTGGATGTGTCCAGATGCCTAAAAATTAGTTATATCTAAAATTGAAAAATCACTATATATTGGGTATCTTACCAGTTCCTTTGAAAAAGTATTTGTAAATGTTTATTGGTGATATAAAATCTTTAAAAGTTAAGCCCAATGATTTTTCTAAAGTTATCATATCCAATCCAGTAATAATGTGGTCTTGTAAGTTTTCTCCCACTGCTAAATCCGCAATTACAGGGATCTTTAGGTTTAAGAAAAAACCATTTATTAAAAAAAAATTTTTTTTTTAAATATTTATTTACTTCTAATGGTTTAAGTTGGTGTGCTGGTCCAATACCACTCGATAAAAGTATTTTTGCCGTATTCAATGTTCCTGCAGACATGACTACCGACTTAAGTGCATATACTTTATAAACTTGGTCAAATCTGTTGTACATAACTCCATTTGCTTCGTAATTATATTTAAACAGCACCTACTTAAAATAAATAATAAATAAATAATTTTAATATTACATAAAACTTTGTTGCTCGGATATTTGATTCTTTAATAACCTTTGTAACTAGAGCATTTGTGAGCACAGTTAAGTTTTTTTTTTTTCTTGATTTTAAATATAGGTGTTCAGCACTTAATCTTGCTCCTGTTCTTATTGACACTGGTGTCAACGAGAAACTACCACCATCTCGTCTGGAAATATGAAAACCATCGTTGTTCATATCAAATGAAGTATTAAAGTCCAACTCATTGGCCGCCTCAAGTATAGCTGTTGCAATTGGCGTCACATGTGTTGGCTGACGACTGAAGAATTGTTTTTTATTGGGTGATCCTGGTTGTACGGTTTATATTTTTAATGGTTTTATATTTTTACTATTTATGTTGTGGAATTTTCTCATTTGTACATTAATGTTTGTATAAAATCAAGACACATAGTGATAAGTTACTTCTAATTCTTACTGTTATATATATTTTTTAACATAAAAATACTTACTATTATATGTATCAGCTTTTTCATATTTGTTGAAGTAGTAAAGCACATCCTCTTTGGTCCAATCTTGTTCAGATTGCCACGATAAATAATCTGTAGAAATATGACCTCTTATATGAATATTGAAATTGATGCGACTACTGCCCCCTAAGACTTTTCCTGAGGGCCATTGACTAGACTTGAAAAATCAGAATTATAAAGTATGGCGTACAGCTTGTATATAAATATATTAAATGAATTTATTATTTATCCTTAAAAAAAATATAACTTAATATTAATTTATTAATCATTCAATACATTATTTTTCATTGCAAGACATGCGTCCTGTTGTGACTCTGTCTGATGTTTCCAATCAATTGGTGACTTTTGGAACATTGGTGTGGCAAGAGGTATATCGTGTAATAATGACACTTTGGGTCCAGCTTCAATTAATAAAACGGTATGTGCTTCATTTTCTGCTAAACGCGAAGCTACAGCAATACCTGCTGTTCCTCCGCCCACTAAAAAATACATTATTGCGACATTAGAACATAGAACATGTCAGAAAATATATTTTCAATTTTCAATACATATAAAAGTAATAGAATTTTCTTAAGACATAATTATGTATTTTGGTATTAATAAAGATAAATAATAATAGTTGGTATACAATAAGTTCAGTGTTCACACTAGGAGCGAATACTACTTTTAAATAGCAAAAAAGTGTTTTTTACTAATTCAGTTACTTTTAGCAATTTTTATATATAGGTTTTTTTTTATAGCAAAAATGGGCAAAGTTTAAGTAAGCTGAAATATAACACTAATGTAATAATAGTCTGTCTTAATTTATAATATAATTATTTAGGTTAAATTATAGAATAAACAATAAGCATTTCGCCACTTAACTTTTTAGTAACCAGCCTGTAATTATAACACTGCTAGTGCAAGGGTTTTGAAATACAGTATGAATGCGTAGCTCAAAATCTTTGTGTATGCATTTTTTTAAATTTGAATTTTGAAAAATTCTTTCTTGGTGCACCATTACATGGTGATACAAAGGTACTGTCAACATTTCAAGTATCTAGCTATCATAGTTTAGACTCTGTTGATCAGCCAGGGCACGTTTGATTAAATCTATAATTAGATAGATCTTCATAATATGGATAGCTTTTATTGAAAGTAAGTCACCTAATTCGATGGTAATATACGAAGTTTCAATATTATTTACAAAATATATAAAAACGATATCAAGATATTTATAACATGAAAAGCAAAAATAATATTTAACTATAGTATAACTAATATTATATTATTATTATTATTATGTGTAAAGACTAAAGGTGGAAGTTAAGCTTATAAGATATGTGATGAATGTAATTGAAAAAAAAGGTATTCATTCAAGTATTATGTTTTAACTTTTATACTCTGGAGTAAATAAATTATGATATCTTGATAAAAATTATTATTAAATAATAATAATTAGATGAGTTGTATAACTACTGGTTGCATGCATATAATATGTAAGATACAAATTAAATATGAACACGTAGTTAAGGTTATGGTATATAAAAAATCAAGGGTTTATTATTGATCGATATGTGTTTTTAGTTTTTTACCTCTGTGTATATTTTTAATGAAATAATGTTATTTTTACATAATCATTACTATGTGATGATGATATGAGTATTTTTTTATTTAAATCGTTAAATTTATATGTTTTTGATTCTTCTATGAATGAATGATAAGTGTTTTTGATGTATTAAAATAGCAGTATGTGAAATTATAATATAAATTATAATATGAGTGTATAATATAATATATTATTTTATTTTATAAATAAGATATTAATAATAAAACTATAGATATTTCCTTATAATATTTCTAGTATCACACAAAGGAATGAAATTGAAACCTATTTGAAGTGTTTTCAGATTGCACTTGAAAATATTGTTAAATATTACATGATCAAATTGTTGCTTAAAATCCATTCAATAGAGAAGTAAGAACATTGTACCTAAATATTTATTGTAGAACTTAATATTATTTTACTAAAATTATTTAATATTATTAAAATAGTTTAAGCTTTATTCACGCAATAGTGTAGATAGGAGGTCTTTTGGTGAAAAAAACTACAGGGTACACTTATTTATGAATATTGGGGTTTCATCGTAGACCTTATATTACCTACTAGACAAGAAATGAGTGCATGGAAAGCGTAACAACATAGAGGGAGCTTTTTGATTACTCGATTACTCGTACGCACGGTAATGCGGGGTAAGATATATAGAATCTATATTATAGGATCATCATTTTTTTCGTAAAGACAGCCAATATCACTGCGATATGTTGTCACGCAGTCCGCGTGTTGTTATACACAGTTCATGACTAGTAGGATAAGGTCTATGTGTTATATAAAAACGAACGAATAAATTCAACCATTCAAAAAGCAGCTTGCTTCGATAGTAAAAACTATTTTAATTCAAAAAGTCACAAACTTTACAAAAATACATCTGTCGTTACCCAGTTTTGTGCATTTTTATTTATGTACCCAAGTAATAAAAATGATTTCATAGTTCATGTTAATTGTTTTACCGTGTCAAATTGCCAATTGGAGATTGTAAGAAGATAACTCGCTGCCTCACATAACATCCAACAAAAAAAACTAACATACATGGATAAGACAAAACGATTTTCCTGATATCTGATGAAAATATTTCACATTACTTACAGACGCTACATCCGCATGTGTTGTCTCCGTCTTACAAACGTACAACATATCAAAAACTGTTTTGCGCGAAATAGAACCACTCAAGCTGTAGGCCTAGCTAAGCAATCAAATGTCCACACTGTAAACAAAAAAACATTTACTGTGCAACATCGTTTTTATTTTTTCGATATCACAATTATAAGAAAAGTCATTCAAATTTTAAATATTTAATTTATAAGCAATGAGAACTTTTTTTGTACTTGTGATATCAAAAAAATAAAAACGATGTTGCACAGTAAATGTTCTCTGGTTTATAGTGTGAAAATTTGGTTGCTTAGCTTGGACTACAGCTTGAGTGGTTCTACTTTGCGCTAACAGTTTCTGATATTGTACGTTTGTAAGACATAGCAAAAGCTGTTTTGCGCGGGACGACTTTTCTCGCACCATATTTGTTGTAGAAGGTAGAACTACCAAATTTTCACAACACGTAAAGAACTTTATCTGTGCATCAGCATGCTTTTTTTTTTTTAAATCATTTTTTTATAAGCAAATTTAAAAAACCAAAAACAAAATAAATGTTTAGAAGTAAATAACTTTTATTGTATTTGTGTTATCTAAAATAAAGGCAAGCTGTTGCATAGATAATATTTTACTCTATATTTTCAGAAATTTTAGAGCCACTACTACAAACACAGAAAGATAAAAGTTGTAACGCGCAAAACAGTTTTTGCTATGTTGTACATTTGAAAGACGGAGACAATACATGCGAGTGTGACGTCCTCTTAACTCTATAAATTTTGAATTTTATAATCTGTCCTATAATTATATTAAATTTAACAAGGGAGACCATTCTTATTACTCGGATGCTCACGAACGATGGTTCAATGGTTGACTAATTAGTGGTAGATACCTAATAAGTAATAAGTAATAATTATCCTCTCCAAAACACCACTGGGCGTAAAGAACTTTGCATAGACCTATGTTATTTAATGATTTTTCGCACTTACCCCCATATATAGGTACCTATTAAATAAAGTAAATATGTTTATATAACGTTTATTTCGTGAATTACCGGTTATTGAAACTTCCCCATAATATATAATATAGGGAAATATATTATTATTATAAAAATATACTCCTAATAGTCAAGGGGCCGTATGCATAGTCCGACACTTAAGGAACATCTTAAATCACTTAGGTAATACCTAACTATGGGACACCTAAGTGCTATGTAGCTGGCCCCTAATTTTTGGTACTATAAAAGTATATTTTTGCTGATGGGAATTTATAATATAATATTATCGTGACTTTATTTTTTATATACATTTGGTTTCTTAAAATAAGAACTATTGGGCCTCAATGAGAAAAACTAGTGTAAAAGTAATTAACTACTTATTACTTAAACAATTATTTTCTATAAAAATAATAACTAACAATTGATTAACAATCATGTTTTTTTATGATTGGAGGGAACTTTTTTTCCATTTGCCCTGGAAATATATCTGTAGACTGTTTATTCACATACGATGTAGGACTATTTTCATACATGTTTTAACCTACCGAATAGCTTGATGTTGTTGGAGACTCAGCGCCTGCGTAAAGGCAGGGCAGAAGGGGCAGATGCCCAGAGCCCCTCGCTTTTCATGGCATTTGATGATTTTTAAGCCTGTAATGTTGTTTTTGGAATTTAAATACAAGTCCCGTCTACAGTATGGCGGCTTGTGGGTTTTTAATATAATAATTTGAATACCTATAGTAAATGAGTAAAAGTAAAAATAAGTTATAATGCCGGCGAGCGAAGGCCACATCCAAAACAAATTTGACGTTAAAATCTTGAATTTTTTTTTTTAATTTTTGTGTAACACTTGTATCTAGTGTACTTAGTGTACCTAATTATTTAATTTGTACATATTTTATTTTAATACATTTTTAAAAAATTCTTCTACCCAAGAACTGGGACGTACCAGCAAATTTTTTTTGCCTTACGAAAAAAATCTGCCCCGGGCCTCGCAAAACCTCCCGCCGGCGTTGGAAGACTTGTGAGGTGTAAATGTGGTTCCGGCCTTGACTTGGACAAAATGAAAATATCCATTTCATCAACATTTTTCGTCAATGTATGCACCATGGTCGTGTTTTAAAATGAATGGCTCAATAACTATATTTGTCCGTGCAACAGTTTCGTAAATACACCATTCTAGATTTTGAAGCTGTATAGGATGTGAATAATGATAGAAGTCGATATTCGTCTTGAATTTTTTATCTAACAAGTACGTTTTTACCACTGTACGTTTACAGCAGTAGTATATATAATTTGAAAATATCGGTATGCTTATTCTTCTGGTCCAACATGGATGACAGGATTTTCTGTATCAGCAATAGTACGTTTTAAAAACTTGGTGTAATATTACATAACCCGATGGAAATAATATATTGTATGGCTACACATTGAATCTGTATTATGTTAACTGTTGGACCGTAATCAATGTGTACGAACTTACCACCCTCGAAATGTATACTGTGTAGCTGGTAGATTCGACGAGTTCTGCTGGTGGTTGCGGTGGGACATAATTATGTAAAAGTTTTCTTTTATGGCCAAAATGTATAACATTGAACAGGCCATATTAAATAAAAAACTTATTATAATAAATTAAAACACTGAAAATAAACACAGTTAAAAACGAAGCTACAGAACAGGAGCGATCGTTAGATATGACGCCGTGTGCTATACTGCATTAGCTACTGCTACAGACTTAGAGTACAAGTGTTAAGTTCCGATTGGCCAAGTCCAATTGATATAAGAGTACCTAATTTTAG